GTTTAGGAATCGGAATCGACATTGTAGCCGCTGTCAGAAATCTCGCCCAAATCCGCTGAAACATCTCCGATTTGGGTTTCTATAAAAAACCCATATTGTTGCTACTTTTAGGAATTTGTAATCCCAAAATTTTTTCTGAGCCAAACTCTAGAATAGGATTCACAAAGATTTCAAAAATTATAATTTTGCCACTGTCAGTCCCCAAATACTAATCCTTTTCTATAAATTGGTGAAACAAACAGCCCCTTAGTGTAACGCGAAACGGTTATTTCTTTGTTACAATGCAAAGGATAATTAATTAATTAATTTGTCCGAACAATCTAATTTTCAAATTTAGTTATAATAACAAACATGTTTTCTTTCAAAAAAAAAGTTTATATTTATTGGTAAAACGTGAAATTGAATTGTGTTTTATAATTAAAACGTATTTCCTTTCAAAAATTTCATGATAAGTATGTATATTATTCTGAATAAAGGTGTTATCCCGAGTATATCGATCAAACGGGAGTAATGTCCATATAAACTATGGCCGCATAAAGGGAATACGCATATGTATTCGGTAATCAAGAATAGTAGTGTTAATAAAAAGATACTTTAGAAATAACAAATTTAAATAACCCCATTTGCAAATCTTATTATAAAAAAAAAACCATATTACATGATGCAACTCTAGAGGTGGCTCTAGCCTATATGGACCGGTTTGACCCTATAAGGGTCAAGGTCGTCAGAACCGCAAACAGCTCAGAATCTCGTGCAAAAGATCAGTCTTTTCGAAGCTCTCACAAAATCATTTGGGTCACATAGGATGCTTAAGGCAATATATGTGACCTCTGCGGGGTTCACAAAATTCCATTGTTTTGGGCCTCGAATTCATGGTTAAAGATTTTCTTTCTCTTTTACATAGTGCTTAACGGTCCAATCTAAAGGGGTAAATAGATTCCACTTTGGCTGAAGTTTGAGATGGTGGATCCTTTTTCCCAGTAGATGGATATTTTCTTTTTTTTTGACATTTTTCTATTAATTAGAAAGATGTTTTATCTTTTATCTTATGTTTTCGAGTCTATAAAAGAATCTTTTCTAGATGGTACGGTAGTTGTTGAAGGGTAAAAACCCTGGTTTATTGGTTGTCACCGTTTATTTGTGTTCTCTCTATCTTTTTGCATCTTTTGTAATTTTTTATCTGGTTGCAACCCTATTAGAACTGCATCACTATGTGCATTTATAAGGGTTATTTTTTTACATGTATCCACCCCTCAAATCTTCTATATTTGCAAAATTACCCCCAACATCTTGATATTTGCGAAATTACCCTCAAAACTGTCATATTGGGTCTTTCTACCACTCCAACTTAGTAATGTTGGTATTTAAACGAGGCAACGCCAAGATTTTCAATGATTTCCAAAAAATTTGCAAAAAGTTCCTATTTAAAACCAAAATTGTTAAGTAAGAGAGGTAGAACGAATCAATGTGAGAGAACTGAAGGGCAATTTTGCAAATACAAAGATTTGACAGTAAATTTGCAAAATATGAAAGATTTGAGGGTGTCAAGACCAAAACCAAAATGGATATTTAAAAAGAAAAACCAAATTCAACTAGACCAAGGAGCAAGGAATGGAGTGAAGCCTTGTTATATGTAAATTAAAAAAAAATGAAAAACCGTCAAGACCAAATTCAACTAGAGTGGTACTAGGGGCACACCCCCAACCACACCTCCAACCACACCCTCTCTCTCATTTGCTACAGTATATTGAGCCCCACATGAGATTTTAAATTTTTAAAATCTCATGTGGGGCCTAATGTACTGTAGCAAATGAGAGAGATGGTGTGGTTGGAGGTGTGGTTGGGGGTGTGCCCCTATCATTTTCCATTCAACTAAGACCAAGGAATAGAATGAGGCGACCTTATTCGTAATCAAGCTCAATTCTTGTACAACTTCTGTTATGTTTAAATATATATATAACGCCCACGCTGTAAAAGTTCATATGAGCCTCAACTATAGCGCTCGGATAACACAAGCATACAGCTCAACTTAAATGAATTACAAATACAGCAATATGTCAATGTTAATTAATGAGTAAATACATCAATCCCCACCGAGGGATGTGACTGTTACTAAAGCTCTTTGTGTGGGAGCTCACATGCAGCCAAGCGGCCTTTGGTTTTCACCTCGCCAAGCATTTCAGCCACAGTTCTGCACCGGCACTGGTTTCCTGGTCTGATAACATCCCCATAGACGGCCATTTCAATTATATCGAGCTCCTTATCTGCGAGATTGAGGAAAAAGATGAAGGGTGAAAAAATACATAAAAAGCATATGAATAGAAAACCATGTATCTATATGGGCAGTTCTTATGTCCATTTTATGCCAAAGTGGAAGACAAGGATACATTTGATAGGTTGGCAGATTGAAATCATATGCCAAACACATGAATGGCTCCGAGTTAAAACAATTTCAAGGCAATGAAACTCCATTCTCTTCCTTAACAAACTCATGAAGGGTTGAGTATAATTCAGAATGAGTACACCGGTCAGAAGAAATTGAATGGAAAACAAAAGGTGACGAGATGCACTTATTCCTTAACAACCGATCGTGTTCTTAATTTTAGAAAAATCTCTCTTTTTAACATGATCAAAGATGCAGCAGAAAGTACCTCACAGCTAGTATTTAGGGTTTCCAAACTCCAGCCCTTTCTCTTTTGACATGGTAAATGGCAAAAGGAGGGGCGAAGGAGAAAAACTCTTTTCTACAATCATTATGAGTTGTTAAACTGACTAGCAAACAAAGGGATAATATGTAGGAAATAGTAATTTTGCATGTCAGCAATGAAGCAACAGCCCAAACGATTCAAATCATTTAGTTTCTAACACTAGCCAGTGTATATAAACCCACTTCTCTTCTCAACAGTTACAGCGAAAGCGAAGAACCCGATTATGTTTCGTCCACAATTAATGCCCATAAATCATGACTTTTTAAACCATATTGCTGTAATGAATCTGCTGTGGTATCACATAAGATATCCGAAAACACTTTAGGTGAACTGAGGAAACTAATGAACAAGGAATGTGTTTCACACACAAGTAGAGGAACTAGGTCCTCTCCATTCGTCAAATTCAAGAAATGGGAGATTATCTTAATCACTAGTAACCGGGAGAATCTATAGTGTTTACCTTAACCCTCCTCATCATTTCGGTCTGCTGTTTATATCTTATTTCTTTGTTAGGAAGATCTTTTAACATTGCACAATTGCCTAGCTGTTTATGCGTTCACGTTCAAATGCAGTGGCTCTAGTAGGAATCACTAAGGTTAGAGGTGATCATACCAGGCTAGATCAGAATACCAGGACGTACATATTTCAATACACAATACACACAAACTAAATAGTCAATCTGGAAACAAGTTGAAGCCTTTGATTTGGCCACCCCATGTACCGCACTATTCTACTGAACTTTATCAGATCCACCAAACCTTCAATATATTATATCAGGAACAATAAAACAACTACTGGTTCTTCCATAAATAGGTCAGGAACAATAAAACAACTACTGGTTCTTCCATAAATAGGGTTAAGGTATTTGGAATAGCACTAGCAAACAATTTGCTAAGAAATTTTTAGGGACTTATAACAGAACACAATATAAACAAGAAATGTTATTGCATATGTGTGCAGTTACGTACAACCCAATAATTTATAGTCACTTATAACTTTACGTGACTCGAGTTTCGTTTCTAGCATGGAGAACTACAGAAATCCCAGCCAATATGACGCAGATGTAAATGTGCCTATCTGTCAGTTCGTATATATTAGTGTTGCATAGTTATCACCATATCTCGATTGTGTAAACAGTAACAAGCCTGACATATTTCCTGACTACAGATATCAGGTCACGCTGTAGATGTGAAAGCATAACGCACAAGGATAGGTCAAGCTTCTACTAACGACTCCTACATAACATACAATACAGGCGTATAAAACCCAAATAAAATTTGAAATGAACTGTAAATCATTAAATTTTGGTATTTAGAATGTTTAAAGACTTCTAAGCTAAAAGTCTCGCATATTTAAAGCAATAAGAAAATCTAAGGGAACCAAAAATAAAAATAAATAAATAAATAAATAACATAAAAAGATAGTGGAATATCACACACCAGTGAACTTGATGTCACAAGAGAAACCTTCTAATTCTTTTTTATCCACCCATTGCTTATCTGATTTGAATCTGTTGACTCTAGTCTGAAGAATTTGGCAGTTATCTTCAGTAGATTTCCCGCCTGCAAAAAGATATCAACTTTATATAGAATCCAATGAAGTCCTAAAGCTACATGCTCATATTTGAAAAAGAATACAAGAACAGGCTTAAATGACCAACTTTTTTCCCCTAATAATCAGTAACCAATTGCAAGAGCATGACAGTAGCATTTATTAATCACAAGACACTGTAAGAGCACAGTTTACCTATTACTATTTCTTAAGAAAAGCCCTCCCTTTGGTCACGTGTGTCAAAATTTGAAAATTCCAGTAAACACCCTCACAATTTATTCCTTTCTAACTCATCTGAGGATGAAAATGTGGGGAAAAAATGGTCATATGTGTTAATTTTTCTAAATTCCAAAAATAACCTCACAATTATATATCCTCTCTAACTCATCTGAGTGGTAAATGTCGAAAAAAACTAACAAAATTTTGGGGAAAAACCATGTTCCACTTTGTAGCTTGAACAATGTTTCACATCCGCCGCTATTGCGTTTGTGGTTGGGAGACTATACAAAATAGAGGTGATCATCAATGGTTCTTGACTCAAATCCCTCAATTAGTATTAGCTTTTATTCCATGTGTTTCTTGTAGTGACCCTATATAAACTCATTAGTCATACCTTGTCCTAAAGATTACTGTTATGCAAATTACAGATATGATAGGAGTTATGTGCAAAAAAGTTGCAATCCCTTAGTTGGTCTTCAGCCACAGAGGGCTTTTGATGGCTTTGGGTTATTGGAGGAGGATGACGGCACCTCCTCATGAAGAGGATAAAAACCATGAAATTCACCTAAAATCTAAAGGGCAAAAAAAAGTTTCAAGCAAACCATCCTCTATCTTCCTGCTAGATAAAACAGATGAAAAGACGGAGAAATGTATGAAAAGAGACGGAGAAGAAGGAAAGCCCTAGCTAAAACCCAATTCAAATCAAGGATCTAGTTGATATCGAGGGGGATCATTTTGGGCTACTCAGACAAAAAAGAGGTGAGTTTATTTGTCACTAGCATTTTTATAATATCAATCACATGAGGATTACATATTTGATTGATCTTGTCCTCGAAAAATAATAACTTTATTGTTTACCTATATAAATTGAAATGTGATTTGATTTATATTTTTGTGACCTATCCCACAATATGTGTTTTATTTTTATGAGATATGAAGAGTAAATTTAATTTCGTATAAAAAGTAATAAGTGATTTTGGTTCTCATGTGATATTAAATAAATGTGAATATTGCTTTATTCAAAAGCTATAGCAGAAATAAGTATTTTAAATGTGCTTCAACTTTGAAGAATTCAAGAACTTTTCTGTGATTTGATATTTGAAACAAAGTAAAATAAAAGTGAATTTCGTAAATTGTTTCATCGATATGAAGAGTTTTACACTTATTCATTTGATTTGAAAGTGTTTCTAATTTTGACAAAGTGACTATTTTGGTACAAGTGATGTGTTTTTGAAATAAAGTGATTGACAAATGGTATCAAAGTATTCGGCTAGCTAGGAGTGTGGAGCTAAGAGCTATGCTGGACTAAGTGTTACATTGCATGACTGCAGTGTGAGCCATCTCTAGAACCCGTAGAAACCTCCTCTAGAGTCGACATTGTTTGGTAGTGTGAAGCTAAATGCTATGCAGGACTAAGTGCTACATTGCGTAAGCACGATTGGAGTCATCTCTCAAACCCGCAGGAGCCACCTCTAGAGTTCACATTGTTTGGCAAAGATTATTGGTACTGTCAGGAAAAAACACATCACAATAGTGTGATGTGTTTTTTGCTTGCCATATAGTATTGAATGCACCTTTATATTAGGCAGTCTATAGCAGTGTTAGATGCATTCTATTCCCGAGAATATATGTGTTATGTGATGCGTTTTCACATTTCCATAGTATTGGGCCATAATTTGTGACCTTAGTGTGAAATACGAGGAGGTTCATGCATGTATGTGAACATAACTATCGAGATTTAGAGTTCAAACATTTGACTCCAAATTTGAGAACAATAATATTTTGCATGAGTTTTCTGTATCAATTTTCTCGTGTTTATCCGGGTTGCAAAGATTTGATTCAGTGGTTTATGACAAGATATTCAATTTTCATACAAGAAAGAATATAAAATTTTGCATTCCTTTCTTAAGAGTATTAGTAATAAGTTCTTTCGTGCAATACTTTGTCACTTCAGAATTTCAAGTGCAGAACTTATAATTCACTATTTTGAGGATTATTATTTTGTTAGATACCTAGAAATCTTAGTGGAAAATATTCTCACTAGGCTTTAGTTAACCCTATTATTTTCAAAAATTTTAAAGATTTCGCGTAGCATGTGCCAGCTGAATTTTGATGAAGGCATTGCTAAGAGATGTCCTAGAGAAGCCTCACTTTTGTCGTATATAGCTAGACAATATATTTTGGTTTTGTAAAGTGCTTGTGACGGTGAGCTTTTGGGTTGTATGTACTTCTTATGTATACATAGTTTGCTTTGAACTTCTATCATTAGAAGTTTTTATATATTTTGTAAAATGACATGTGATATAAAGTGCTAGATTTGACACATGCATAAGACTTGTCTTGTGAATGGGTCGCTACTATCATGTAATATGCATCTATCTTCCGCTATTGTTTCAGGGCGTGACATTTGTTTTATTCAAGTTAGTCTTCACATTTTTCCTCATTTAGGTTTTTTTTCCTTCTCTATGTATATTTTCGTATTCTGGCCAAATCTTGAACGCATTCATGCCAACTAACAACAGACTGCATACAACACAAAGTCATAGGCTCGACAATTTGTTGAAGAATTAAGGGAGCAAAATTACATCCGAAGAACATAATCGGCTTTCTCAATGACATAGAATATCAAGTGCTAGAGTTGGTGAAACAACTATGCGAGTAAGAATAGAAGTCAAATGGATAAACAAGGATAGCGAAGACTTACTAAACTTATGAAATTCTTCAGCTTTTTTATGCTAACATTTGATTATATTTTTACCCTTTTAATTTTGTAGTGATCAACATCCATTGCTAAGCTTGAACTTTTTTTTTATGCACAGGTTTGTAGTGCGCTCTGCACGCATCATGCGCACCAGAGAGCTAATATGTAATAAATGAAGGAGGTCATAACGGATAGCAACAGGCACCCCATGTAATCCATGTCAAGAGAAGAAAACAGGATAGACTAGTGGAGTATGTGTTTTAGTGAAGTGAGAACAAAGAGAAGCTTTTGAGACTCGTTCTAGAAAGAAAGCCTTATTCAAAAAAAAAGCAACAAAAAAAAGAAAAAGAAAAAGAAAAGAAAAATGGTAACATTCACTGGATCCTTAATTCCTATTGGACTTATTCCAGGCGCCCCCACGTTTTATTAACACTTTGTATACTGAACCAAAACCAACCTTTTTAAAAACACAAGTGAAGATATGATCCAGGGTTGGAACAACACAGATATCTCCAATCATCACCGCCTACCAAAACTACTCCTACTAAACATTGTATCACCAACCTAGTAACAATGTCGGAGAAATCGAGACCGAAAAGACCAAATTGCAGGAGACAAGAGAAGAAGCATTCGTTCAGGCAAAATGACGAACAGCTGGAGGGCATGAATTTTTTTAAAAAAAATAGTAAGAGAGAAACTACCTTTAGAGAAAGGAATAATGTGATCGTACTCGTAGCAGAGGCATCCAAGACAGTTCCAGAAGCGCTTGCATACGACGTTGCCG